CAGAAAGGAGATACAAAAGGGCTTGAGTTTGGAGTGGTAAAATATTATCTTGTTGGTTCATGGACCTACAATTGGGAAATACTGCTCTAGTGGTAATCTAAATATTTGACTTGCATGGTGGTTGTATTATTTATTAGAAGACTTAGTGGAACCTATTGCTTAGAGTGGGATACCCCTCCCAGGACAGGCTGGGAAAATCTCCAGGATGCCAGCCAGGGTACTGAGGAGAGTTTCCAAAGATTTAGGCCATTGCTCCTCCCTCCCTTCCTGGAAAAGAATGCAAAGTGCAGCTTCCATCCCCAGATCCAGGCCGTATGCTCCATTAACCATTGTGGGCACCTTGCCCAGTTGTTATTTTAATAAATCTGGTTGTGCTCCTCAATTTTGCTTAGAGAGCCCACTGGGCAGGCCAGCACTTGATAGAACCTTGAGTTTTCCTTCTGGTTGACCCATGAGCTATTTGGTGAAAGTTCTGCCCATAGTATTAGTACTGGCTTAGGAAGATTGGCTTTCTTGCCATTATAATGGGTGTTGCAACTCCTGGTCTCTGTGGGTCAGGCCAACAACAGCAGAGTAGCCTTGATGTGGATTTTGAGGGAGTTATGGGGGAGGTGACATTTCAGGAAAGAATAACTGATTTAAAGCTATTGCTTTTCGCTTAGAGGCAGGGGGCATGGCAGGACAGAAAGAAAGCAATAATAAGCCTTATTTGTCCTATCTATCTTTACACTTTTAATGTATCACTATCCATATATATATATGCATAGAATTTAAATAATTTATAAATAAATAATTTTACTGAATCTCTCTCAGGCCTTCCGTAGAACCTCAGTGGTTTGTTTACCTTCCAGTTTCCCAAGAGAAATAATATCTTCAGATTTCTGCTGATTTTTTTGAACTGTTTAGTTTTTAACATCATCTGGGAAAAGGTTACCAGGAAAATTTACAGAATAATCTTTAAATGCATCTGAAAGAAACAACGCCCCCTCCCCTCTATTGTCTCACCCATACATCACTAGGAGGAATAGCAGTATTGGGGGAAAAAAAATTTGCTCCTGACTGTGACCACTGTACCCACAGAAAAGGAGTGGGAGAGAAAAAATGCCCATGTGATGGGCCAAATCATTCTACCCCCTGCATTGAGTTACCTTTTCTAGGAGCCAAATTTCCCCCTTGGGTCTTGGAGAGATGCTTAATTTTAATTGACTCAGAGGAATTCCACTTTGTGTTTTTGAAAACCACACAGAAATGGGAAGAAAGTTAAAGTTCCACTCCCCACCTCCCCTCCAACAGATATGCACAGACAAATTCAAGGTACTCAACAGCCTTAAAACAGAATCTTGGGCTGGGACCAGAGGCTAGGTTTGTGATAGGCTCTATATTTCCAGCAGACTCCTTAGAAGGTAGGTGAACCTTACCCACACAAAACGGAATTGTGCTGCAATTCCGTTAACTTTGTCCTTTGAGTTAACCCAGCAGGCATGTTCCTCTAAACTGGACTTTTTTCCCCTTCATAAATGGTTTCCAAACAGTTCGAAGTGGTCACACTCTTGGAGAGGACAGAGTATGCAATGGCAGATTTCATTGCTCTGAAATGCTTCTGCTTTTGTGAGGGGATAGGACAGAAATGTATCTCCCCAGCTCTCTACAGCACTTGCCTGTCACTGGGTTTCATTTGTCATTTGCTGCCCTCCACGTCTTTGTGTTTCACAGCTCGTGGAATCTTGACTTCAGAGAAATAAGTGGACCCAAGAAAGAGTTATATTTTAAAAAACAGAATGATGATCGCTCGGGTTTTAAGTTAACAATAAAATCTGAATGTAATTGGCCAGATCCTCCCAGGAGAGAGTGTGTGTAACCTGTCTTCAGGCTGGTGTGAGTCAGGCACTTCTATGGCATAGAAGAGGCCATTCTCATACATCCAGGGAGGAACCCACTTAGGACTCTGTGTCTAAGAGATGGAAGACTGGGAAAGTTCTGTGAGCAGAGCGGGCAGACAAGGGCTGTGAAGGTGGCAGCAGAATTGAAGAGTTATTCATAGAATTATGTGAGCTGTGGAACATTGGAGGGCATATCTTTCCTGCTTTAAAAAATGCCCTTTCAACCCCACACTTCTCTAGTTACTGCCTTTCTTCCTTCTTCCCTTTCCTAGCCAAGATTTTAAAAGAATGTATCTTACTTGTCCTATTTCACCTCCCATTTACTGCCTGATCTAGCTTCTTTCCTTTTCCCTTCACAAACTGCTCTCATCAAGATTACTGATGATTTTCTTGTTGAAAAAAGCAAAATGACAGAAGCCTTTCAGTTGTTTTATTTAATTTTTCTTCATCTTTTGACATGCTATAATTTCTGTGACATTACCCTTTTGTTTTTTATCTTCTTTCTGTTCCTTCTTAGACTAGGAAGTCTTGCTGCTCCGTTCCACAGGGATCCTTCCATAGTCTCTTCTTACTTTACCTACTCCCTAGGGAATCTTAAGCATTTTTGTAGCTTCAAACATCATTCACTTGTCAATACATTCTCAAATCTATATTATTAGCCAGTTCTCTTTCCTGAACTCCAGACATTATACATCTTGTCTTCTCCTAAATGTTGCTTTTTGTGTGGAATGTTTCAAAGCTAACTCAAATTCAACATGCCCAGTCACCCAAGCTTGTTTCTCCTCCTTATCGTTTTTTGTAAATGGCATCTAAGACAGAAAACTTATCTCCTTTGTTAACAGCTTCCTAATTGGTCTCCCTGCTTCCAATATTTTCCCCCTATGGTCTTTTCATATAACAGCCAGATAAGATTTTAAAGAGTAATTCAGATCATATCAATCCTTGCTTAAAAGTTTCCAATGGCTTTTCATCACAAGTAGGATAAAATCTAAACTTCCCACTGTGGCCTACAGAACCCTGCCTATTCTGGCCACTGTGTCTCACAACTTGCCCCTTTGTTTCCTCTGCTCCAATGACTTTGGCCTTCTCTCCATCCCTCACCCATCTCAGGGCTTTGGCTGTTTTATTGCCTGGAATACGCCAACTCCAGGTTTTTGGATTACTGGCTCCTTCTGTGGTTGGTTCAAATGTCATCTTCCCAGGTCTCTGCTGATCATCCTAGTGAATTCAGTACTCTTCCTGCTTACCCCCACCCCAACTGCTGTTTATTTTTCACAAACTGAAATTATCTTGTTTGTTTATGTTTTCATTGGCACTCTTTCTAGAATGTAAGCTCTATGGGAGCAGAGACTTTGCTTTTTTAAATTATTATATCTATTACTTCAAGGAGTGCCTGGCAAATAGTGGGTAATCAATAAATATTTTTTTAAATTAAAAAAAAATGAACAATGTTCTTAGATCCTGAGTTTCAGACAAGCTGTTTGTAGTTCCCTAAACTACAATACAGATATATAATCCATCTTCTCTTACTGTAATGCTCTCTCATTTCTTCTTTTCCTGCTCAACTCCTGCATATCGTTCAGAATTAGATTCTTTTACCTTCTCCGGGAAGCTGCCTTTGATCTTATGAGTTTAAGGTTTAATGCCTCCAATAGACTCCATAGCACATATGCAATTACCATGTAAGTTTTTTGTTAATGTATCTATCTCTCCCATTAGATTGGCTTCTAGCAGAGATGATATATGACTTGTATTCCCAGTCCAGTGGAAATCTGTAAAAATACACTCTGGAAACTCTATTTAAATGATTCTTTTGTTGAATTATTTGTTAAGTCCTTTTGTAATGTAAATTAGTTGCCTCCTAAGTTCTTACATTTGCCAAGTTTTGATTTTTAGACATTGAGGTTTGTAAAACATAGAGCACACACAAACTTACTTTTAGAAAAGGCTCATATCCCCACTAAAGTTTTCTATAATAAAAATAATAACATTAAATATGATAGCTACAATATGTGCCATGCATCTCTGATATAGATTGTCTTATTCACAAGTAACTCTTCAAGGTATAGATATTATTATTCTCATTTTACGTACATGGAAACTGAGACTCAGAGGTAGTAATCTGATCAAGCTCAAATAGCTAGTAAAACAAAGCTGGGATTTGAATCCAGGTCTCTGGTTTCTAAGACCAAGTTCTTTCTGCTTCACCATGCTGCCCCCTATGGGACAAGCCCACAAATCAGAACTGTTTGTTAAAAATATTATGAGGCTTACAAAATTGGAGCACCTATAAGCTATAGTATCAACAAAGATGCTTTGAATGGCTGTTATTTTAATTGACTAGAAAAATGGCACTAGTGTTAATTTGTCCAAGGCAAGAGCATTATATTGCCTTTACCTAGTATGCTTTTTCTCTGCTTATAAACACAAAGGCATTTTGTAGAAATTTATGTTAACCCAGTCATGTTTTTGCTGTTAGTATTTGCCATGTACGCTTAGACTTAATTCCCATGGTTGGAGGTGCCTTGCTAGGCATCTTCTTCAGCTTGTCTGTAGGTTCATCATATCTATGATGAGGCCAAGCTACTTATTTGGCCTCAATTTCAGAATTCTAGTATATCCCAGGGTTCTTTCTTTCCCACCTTCCAACCCAGAACATTGGTGCCATGTGGATGGGAAGTTTGTCCTGAACTCTTACCCAGGTTGGAACCTGCTTCCTGCCTCATTCTTGTCAGCTTCTATTTAATAGAGGTTGGGCCTGGTCTCCTTCCTTACCTGGTTTTGGTTAGATTCCCTTGGCTGACATGGCCCTCGCCTGATACCATAGCTGTCTCCATTCTGCATTTCTGAAACCTCATCCCTGCTCTGTGTCCTTTTGTATCTTGGAAGCAAGAGTTAGAACTGGACTGGATCTTCTCTATCCCTAATGGAGTTGATCTCAGGTTGTTGCTGTAGTCTCCTACCCTTCCACTGTTCCCTCTATGCTTTTAGATTCTTACCACTGAGTGGTGTTTCCTACCACTTGCTGGTACCAGTGCCTCAGCACAAAGAACCTCATCAGTGGAGAGAGGACCAAGAATCTGGTGACTTAACTACAGAAGTTTTGATCTTATTGCTTACCACTCACTGCCTTTCTTCTGCGCATCTCTGGGGATGGGGATGGTGATGGAAGAGAGTCTATATGTGATGATGTAGAGTTGATCTTCTGTAGGTTCTGCTCATCTGAGGGGTCTATCAGCTTAGTGATGGGTAAGCCAGAGACTGGTTGCTTGTATCTTGCATATTGGAGAGCATCCATGATCCATCTCATTTCACGCCAAACTTCATCTATTTGCTTTGGAATAAAATGATAAAATTTGTTATCAAACAGCTATTAAAAAAGAGTAAGTTTTTCTGAGAGTCCAAGATGATCCATTTTCTACAGTATTGGTTTTGAGAAAGAGTAAAATATTTTCAACATAGATTTGCTAAGCCAGAAAATACCTCTTCTTTGTAATCTCTTGTGTTTTGCATATTTTTACCTGAGAGGATATGTCATTTGGTGCAAATAGTGGAAGACCTGGATTGTAGCTGGGGTATGCCACTTACTAGCTCTGGAATAACCTTTAGCAAGTTATTTGATCTTTTTGAGCCTTAGTTGCCTTATTTGTAAAATGTGGAATAAACATCTTCCTTTTTATACCTCATAGGGTTACTGTGATGATTAAGTGAAATGATGAATTTGAAAGTGCTTTGTAATACTGAAGGGTACATTGTTCACACATATAAAGTGTTATCTCTCAGCATATAATAAAATATTCCTCATTGGGATATTGTGGGGAACACTTATGAAGTCTGAATTTCAGAATACTTTAAGAAATGTAGTTCTCGTTCTTATATGTAACTTAGAAAAACAAAGCATTACTGGAATATTTTGCTAAGTAGAGATTCTTGGACCTATGCTGATAGAAAAGCAACTTTATATATTGAACTTATTGGTTTATTACATAAAAAGTAAGTGCTTCTAAAGTACAAAATAGCTTGTACAGCTAATTTGTAAGTAATTTAACATCCTTCTATTTTTTGAGTAGCCTATTTTAGATTGTTACCATTTTATTTCTGGGTTACCAAAGTGATTTCAGTAACATTTTCATTATAAAGCACAATAGTAGTTTTCTCTGAAATGTATTGGTGTAAAAGTCACTCAGATTTTTGTGTCTGTATCTGTAGATCACAGATGTTCTCCCAGAATGGCCATAGACACTAGCCATGAGCTTTCTGGTTATTCTGTCTCCAAAGAGGGGCTGTTAGTTAACATATTTTTTCAGAGGACCCTGGAACTTGTGGTAGGCTTTACATCTAATTTCACTGGGTGCCTTGGGCAAGCCACTAACTTCTTTGGGCCTGTTTACTCAGCTGTACAAAGAGGTTAGACAACATGATGTCTAAAGTCCCTTCCAGCTCTAATACTTTATGATTAATTTTTTTTTTCCTTTTTGTCTTTTTTTCGTGACCGGCAACGGATCGCAACCCTCAGTGTCACGCCCGTACCGGACTGGGACCGGCTAGGGATCACAACCCTCGGTGTTGCTCCCGCACCTCACTCAGCCAGTGAGCGGCCGGTCTGTATGTGGGATCCGAACCCTCGGCGGGAGCGCCACCGCGCTTCCCAAGTGGTGCACTATAGCAGTGTGCCACTGGGCCGGCCCCTTTATGATTAATTTTTGAAGAACATTTAGATAGCTGGTGTCACTCACCTTCCTGTTAGAAAGTGTTCATTGTATGAAGGATTCAAGGTTCAGGTTTCTGTAGCTATGGAGTTTTTAAAGATAATGTACTACCCAGTGTTATATTTCATTTTCAGAATTTTTCTTAAGTCTTTAATCTGCACTTAAAACCTGCTCTTTAAAGAATATTCACAAAGCTCGTGCTCCCAGCACAGAGAAGAGTCTGAAATTGTGCCATTCAGACTACCGTGTTCAGAGTGACAGGCAAGCCCTAGTGAATGGCACTGTGTGGTTAATAGCCATTTCCCCTTGCTTTCTAGTTCTGTTCTGTCCTGGGGTGACAGGACTTGGTAGAGTATTCAGGGTTGGTAATGAAAGCATGAGATTGAGCTTTACAACTTTGCTAGCTTGGTGAGTTGGGCAGGAAGTTCAGCAATAGGCAGGCTCATGAGGAGGCACTAAGCCATTTTGAAGAGCGAAATCAGAAGTTCAGGGGCTAAAGCCAAAGTGGGAATCCCAGACGAGATGCTGACAAGTTTTTCCAGTGAGATTATTGCTCTCTCAGCTGGCTTTTATTGGCCCTGCCTCATGCAGCACACTCGTGTCTCAGTTATTTTAAAGGCACTAGATGACTGTGGACAGCTTTTAGAGTGCCTGTCAAGGACAGGGACTATGGTTTTGTATATTTTGCTTTCAGTCGTGCAGAGCAGGTGCTCAAAAAATGATTTTTCAGTGAAAGAACAAATTAATGAAATGGTTACCTAATTCTTTAGATCCCTACTCTTAAACAGAGTTATTATAGAGATTATGTAAGATAATGTTGATGAGGGGACTTTATTTATTTATTTATTTATTTATTTAAAAGATGACTGGTAAGGGGATCTTAACGCTTGACTTGGTGTTGTCAGCACCACACTCTTCCAAGTGAGCTAACCAGCCATCCCTATATAGGGATCCAAATCCGTGGCCTTGGTGCTATCAGCACCACACTCTCCCAAGTGAGCCACGGGCTGGCCCTGATGAGTGCACCTTATAAACTGTACATTGTTATAAAGTTTTCAGTTGTTAAAATGACAATCATGATTATTGTAGTGGACTTAATGTAGACCCCTAAAAAATTTGTCCATCTCCTAATTGCCAGAACCTGCGAATATTACCTTGTATAATAAAAAATTAAATTCTACCTTATATGGCAAAAGATGTGATTACATTAAAGATTTTGAGAGGAGGAGTTTATCCTGGATTATCTTAATTACCTTGTATAATAAAAAATTAAATTCTACCTCATATGGCAAAAGATGTGATTACATTAAAGATTTTGAGAGGAGGAGTTTATCCTGGATTATCTGAGTGGGTCCTAATTCCATTGACAAATGTTCTCATAAGGACATTCTTATAAGTGTGCGGCAGAGGGAGACTTGGCAGACATAAGAAGAGGAGGCAATGTGACCACAGAAGAAGAGATTGAAGCGATGTGGCCAAAGTCAAGGAATGCCAGTAGCCACCGGAAGCTGGAAGAGGCAAAGAATGGATTCTCCCTTAGAGCCTCCAGAGGGAGTGCAGCCCTGCCAACACCTTAATTTCAAACTTCTGGATTCTAAAACTGTGACAGAATAAATACCTGCTGTTTTAAGCTACCTAGTTTGCAGTAGTTTGTTATAGCAGCCCTAGGAAACTAATACAATTATTAATAATAATCCACCTATTCTCTTTGGATAAAATTGTTTTTAGCCTTATTGCTAAAGATGGATAGAGAGATTTAGTGTGGAAAATTCAAAAAATTTGTGTAGAAACCATGTTTACGTAATTTTTCTTAGTAATGAGGTGAAGAGGTCTTAACTGAAGAAAAAAATCAAAAAACAAAAAAACAACATAGGTACAGGGTGGCCTTTGGATTGAGTTTAAAGGGACTTAACTAAGTAGCTCCAAAAGAAGTACAATTTTCACCCATTTTACCTTATACTGTTGATCTAAGAGTAACTGACAACATAATCCCCCCTGATTTTAAGGTCCAAATTCAACTTCTAAAGACGTGCTGACACATTTTAAAAAAAGAGAGACCATGAACTCCCTAGGTCTGTTGATTAAACATTCTGCATCCATTTCTCACCCTGCTCTTTAAAAATTTCAGTTTTCATCCCATAAATTATACTGCTTTCTCTGGACTCAGGCAAGATAATATTTTTATTAAAATGTAAAGGTGATTGGTTTTCTCACAGAACAGCTACAAGGTGCTTGAGGGGATGATAGATTGGCTATATTTAATGAGCTGTGTTTCTATTACAGCTTAGGAGCATTTGAAGTATTACAGTATATAAATTATAGCCTAATTGCCCTTTAGGCTTTAGCAGCTCAAAACATGCCAAGCTCCAGGTCTCCATACTTTGACATTTCTGTTGTGTGAGCTGTCTATAAAGCCTGTGTCCCTTATCTATAATTTTCTACACCTCCCCTGGCCCAGCCGTCCCCCTTTCTGGCTGCAGTCTTTGGCTTCTTTTCCTAACTGTATTTACATAGACTCCCTTGCTCTTTACAATGTTTGGTTTGTGTAGTGACTTCAACACTGTCTTAGATCTGGAATCACACAAATGTTCTCATAACTGGTGGTCACCTCTGCAGGTTATGATGTGTGGTGGGCTGAGCTGTGAACACCAATGGGTAAGTGACTGCAGCTGGTTTCCATTTTGAGAGGGGGAGAGAGAGACACAAAGAGAGAGAGAAAGAGACAGAGAGAGAGATTGAGAAGTCAACATATAGATAAGGGGAGAGATGATGTCAAATTATCTTCACTCAGTGAAGTTATCCATGTTGGGTGGAACAAGGTGATCCACTGAAAAGTATGGGTGCAGGGAGATGGTCTGGTTTTACCCTGGCCAAGAAGTTATTTTTTGAACCCTTTGGGAATTGGCTTTTATTCAAGTCTAGGTAACCTGGCTGGCTGGAAAGGGAGTATGTAGAGGGGGCTCTCAAATTATCTGCTTTGGGAGACCAGAGCAGGCGAGCTTTCAAAAATTCCTTGCCTGTCCTACTTTATCCAGCCTACTTAATGGTGTGATGAAAAGGAAAGAGAAAAAGGCAGTGGAGTTCTAGGCTGGGTGAAAAAGGAAGGAGGAAGAGTAGTAGTCAAGGAGGAAGAATGGAGCCAGGAACTCTGGGGTTCAGAGCTGCAACAGCCTAAAAATAAGTCAGGGTGGGAAAGGGGGAGGGGGAGGGAGGTTAATGAGAAATTGGTAAAGGTCCACAAAAAACAATTACATTGTGTACTGTTGAGTATACTAATTATTTTGGTTTGAGCATCACGTATTGCACACAGGTATTGATATTCGATGCAGTACCTCACAGATATGTACAATCAAATATGTTTTAATTAAAAAAGAAGTCAGCCTCCTCATTGGATGAACTTACTGGGTTCAGGGAGGCTTAAGTGGAATAAAGCAGAAACAGAACCTAAGGCATGTTAAGAGAAGTGTTTCTCTAAAGATATTTCTCATTGTTAAGTCATAAAATGTTAGAGCGACTAGGCCCTTAGAAGTCATCTAGTCCAGTCATTTCATTTTACCTGTGAAGAAATTGGGGCCCCTGGAGATCAAATGAATTTTCCAATACTCCAGAGTTTATCAGTAGAAGATTCAGGACTAAAAATATATGCTCTGGACCATTATTATTCTTTCTATGCTCCACCCTTCCTTTACACTGGGATCAAAAGATGTCAGTCTTCCATATTCTCCTCATGCTGCATTCTTTTTTTCCCACCCATCCCCCACTATCTATGTTCCATTTTTACTGGAAGTGAAATAAATGAGGTAAATGTTCTGAATTTTTAAATACTGCATTCCTAGGTCAAGAGAGCAAGTAACTTTTTGAAAGGTTACTTCTTTAGTCTAAGAGGTCACCTAAGATACTTCATTTATAGGATAAGGAAAGTAGGATACTCCTAAAGATTTGTCTGCTTACCACTTTGCAAGTATATTATAATATCTTCTTCATGAGCACTTCAAAAACCTCAAACTGGTGTTTCAAAAGATGTTTTTTCTTAATAAATGAATGGATACATGTATAATTTACTACATATTTATTATGTGAAAGGCATTTTGCTGAGTGCTTTGACATTATCTCATTTAATTCGGTAACATTATTCTTATTATCCCTATTACAGGTGAGGAGATTGGAATGTAGAGAGATTTATTTGCCTAAAGTTCACAACATTGCTTCCTCTTAAATCCTCTACTTCTTATCTGGACTGTTGTAATAGCTTCTTATCTGGTTTCCTTGCCATCAGTCTTCTCCTTAAATCCAGTAAAGATAATGCAAATTATTTGGTGAGCATGACCAATCAGAATGAATGCTTACAATAAACAACCAGTATGGCCATACCAATGCAGATGGGAATATGCCCTCTGCTTGAATCTATCCTAAACAGAGTTGTGAAAGCCTGTAACTCATTTCTCCAAAACTTTGGTTAGCTCCCTATTGGCTGCAGAATAAAATACAAATTCCTTACCGTGGCCTTTAATAAAGCCCTGGTGATCTGATCCCATTGCTATCTTTCATTCTTGCCTAATTTCTCACTACCGTCCATCACTCAGTTTATGCTCCAACCAACCTTGACTACTTATTCCCCAAATACTATTTTTCTGCTCTTGCTGCTTTATGTGTTTGTACTTTCTCTTTGAATGCTCCACATTCTAGTTCTCCTCACTATAACCTAACTCATCTCTGTAGGCCCAGCTGGAATATCAATTATATCCTCCATGGAAGCTTCTCAGATACCCACAAGTAAAAGTAAATTTTTACTTCTTTGTGTTGACATAGAAATTTTTCTTTCTTTCTTTTTTATTTTTCTTATGGCACCTAACACATTTTACAAATAGTATTTACACACATTCATCTTCTCCTCTAGTGGATTTTTAACTCCTTAAGGTCAGGGACCATGTCTGATTCAACCTTGTGGTTCCCATACAGTGTGTGACACCTAGGTGTAATAAATAGTTATCAAATTGAACTGCATATACTTGTTTATCATAATGGTATTTATTATGGGGCTATTGTTATTATACTCATCTTGTGAAATGGGTAACTGATAGAAAAACTGTAAAATTTGGCTAAGGGATTTAGAGGAAATTTCAGGCCAGATCCAAATTCTCTTGACTGCTAGTCAGTAGCCCTTTCACAAGACCCTGAAGTGTCACCATAAGGCTTTTCCAGACAATATAATGAACAGCGAGTGCATTTTCTAACTTTGGTAGACCACAGTAAAGCGTCAACTTTGCCAAAAAGAAGTTCAAAACATGAGGAATCTTAGGTCTAACTGGATTTGGGTTAACATAAACTGGTAGATCGTTTTCTTTTTCTCTGAGATATTGAGTTAATTGATACAATTTTCCTTTCTGTTGGTGTTATCAATAGACTACCAGGTAAGGATAATGTTCTCATCACTACTTCTGGGGGTTATTTTCCTATCCAATATGCAGAGCCATCATTACTTCCTATGGTGGCTGATACAGTTCTTAGTAATATTGTGATTTATCTGTTACTTTTTCTTATGCCTTTGTTTGAAACTCACATCTCCCTGAGTGTCACATTTTAACCAAATCAATAGGCTACTTGTACACAGTGTTCTTTGAATCAGCTCAGATTGCTGTTCTTTCCCATGCTTCGTTTTCACCCCTTCTACCCTGCCCCTCTTCTCTCTTCCACTTACCTCAGAAGAAACAAACTATTACCTGAATAAAATCTAAAACTTGCTGGTGTCTTTGTTTGGCAGCTGCAACCTCACTGTCTGAGATTGCTTCCCTCAGGGACTGTTGGGTATTCAGAGAATCCAGCTCCATAACAGCAGAAAGGCGGCAATACAGACTAGTAAATTTCTCCTTGTAGCTGCAAAAATGAACTGGAAAATGGACAAGCAAAATAAAACACATTAAGATCTGGTATCGAAGTAGAGAAATTCATACCTCAGAGAAACAAGCTGAACGAAAACATGATTTATTAAATCCTATCAGTGGAAAATATTAAGCCATAAATAAATTATAAGTGTGCTCTTAAGGGGCCAGTTGTCTGGCTTTAGTCAGACAGTATTCCCTTTTAAGGTTTACCAACTATTGATATGGTATGGGGAAGTGGGGTTGGCTTAAGCTGCAGTTTATGTGGACTTTTCTCTAAACTTGGGGCTGAAACAAAGTATATATGAATGAGTGGGAAAATAAGCTTGTTTATCACTTTAAAGGAAAAAAAGTAGCAATTGGAAACTTAATTTTGCTTTTCATGTTTGATTTCCACTATGTATCTTGCTTTCTCCTTTCCAAGCCAGTACCTCCAGAAGATACAAGACATGCTTTTTCTCTGGGTATCTTTTGTCTGGCTGCAAAACTTCCCTAAAGGCCTGTTATGATGGGCTTTGATCCTCCTTCTGCCTCTCCTCTCCTGGGCTCCTCTGGAAGGATGATGGGAGCTGATGCCTGGACAGACCATTTTTGTTTTCAGCAGACTTGGTTTTCCTGTCTCAAAAGATAATGAGACAGAGGCCACAGGAAAGAATCTAACCTTCATCTCCATTACTTTCCCCTTTCCAGGAGGGACAGAGCACTTGGGACTGAGCCTGAGGTGGTCAGATTTTCTGTACTTCTCTGACCAGCTCTGATCATATACCATAACTTCAGATTCCAGTGGACCGAGGAAAGCACTCTGATTCAGACTAGTGTAGTACCAAGTTTCTTCCTGGATATCGTTGAATTTGGAGACCTACTCTCCAGAAACCTCACTTACTCTGTGTACATCTGTATCAGTGTGTTCCATGCTTTGGAAATAGAGCCGTTATAATTCAACAAGTCCTTTGAAATATTTTTATTCTGGCTTATTTGGTGAGGCTTTCTAGGAAGGACATCTAATAATTTAATACTGTTGATTCCTGAGATCCAGATCTGGCCATTTAGGGAAGTTAAAACCATACTGTCTCAAAATGGGACATCTAGTTATCTCTATATCTTAGCAAGGAACCCCTACTGAGAGATTTCTGTGCACCCTGCAAGTCCCATCTCATCATTGCCTGCTTCCTTGCCTGATTTTCTCTTAGGATATATCTTAGGTGAGTGTAAGGGAAACCTGGTCTGTTTATCTTGTCTCATGGAAGTAGAAGAGAAGAATGGGGCGAGGGTGTCAGTGGCCCATCCTTATACCAGCTGTGCCCCCTTTCAAGGAGGTGTTTCTCAATTTGGATAGTCTCGGTTTTGGGATTGATTTTTTTCTCTGGTGTTCAGATCCTTCCTTCCCATCTTCTCTACTCTGTTTAGCACTTTCTTTCCTGACATACAGAAGAACTGATTTCATATACCCTCTCAGTAAATGACAAACTATTGAGCTTCACCCAAGTGATCTAGTTCTTGTACTACTTCCCTGCTTAAAGACTTCTACAGGGCTCTCTCTTGACTTAAGGATAAAATCCAAACATCTTCTCTCCATAAGGAAAGCTCCTTGAGATCTAGGATTTGCATATATCGTCACTCATGTCTTCCGCCATGCGACCACCTTCCACCCCCAGCTTCACATCAACCCTAAGCTTTGGTCAAGCTGAATTTATTACAAGTCCTTTTGTACTTCCATGCTTTTAAACATGCCTTTTCCTCCTCAAATTCCCTTCTCTACCAATACCTTCAGATAAACTTCTTCTGATACTTGAAGATCAGCTTAAATATCTTCTCCATCACTGACCTTTCCTGCCTTCCAGGTGGAACTAGTTTCTTCCTCTTATGTGCTCCTGGAGCACATGTTTCTAAATGTTATCATGACATCTTGTTACATTGTAATTATGTGTTTACTTGACTGCCTTGGTATTATTCTGTGATTTCTTTGAGGGCAGGAACCATGTCTTCTATTAATTTTTATTTCCTCAAAACCTAGAACATTATAACTTCTCAACTAATGTTTATTGATTGAATGAATAAATAAATAAATGTATGGGCTGATCTGAAGAGGGAAGACCCTTTCCCCAAAGGCTCCTCTTTCTCTCTAGTCTCTTTTCTCTCACTGTGTGCTTGATTTTCCTTTTTTGAAAGGTGTATTTCAGGTCTGTGATATTTACTGGCAGCTCCGCAGGAAGGAGTCACCATCACTTGGTAGCTTACTCTTGACCTTTGTAGCTCCCTGAATGTGTCTTTATGCCTTTCAAGGAGGGATTATATCCTGTTAGCGCCTGACAGATGTCCTCTCTTGGCTAGAGACTGAAGAGAGTGAAGTGTCTCACAGCCTGCCTGTCCAAACCAAGTGGTAAAAAAGAAAATTGGCTTTCTCCTCTCTCCCCACTTCTAAAATATGACTGGGAAGATAGGGAGAGGAACCGAATAATTTCTTTAAAAGAAACAACATCAGTCCCATCTGAATTCCTGAAAGCAGTTCCTAAAAGCCAGGTTGTTCACAGCTTTCTCTTGTTGTGTCTCCTTGTGGTAGGAGACTTGGATCCGTGGGTGGTCTCCCAGTACCCACACCATCCATGCCACGCACCACAAGTGAGTTATGAGGAGGTTTCAACTACAGCGCTTCAGTTTCCCGCTCTAGTGGTTTTTATCCAGAGCCTTTAATGTTACTTTAACAAATGTTACTTTAACATAGTCTTTTGTGGTTTAGCAATGATACATTTGGTAGCCATCACTGAGGAGGGGAAGATAGACTGGAAGCTTCTAATTTTTAAAATGTGAATCACATGCATTTTACAGACAAAATGGTATAAGGATACAATAATGTCATTATCTGGACCACATGATTTGTTAGTAATTCACAAAGTAAGACTAATTTTCTGTGGTGTTTTTTCTCCCTCTTTTTTCTATGTAAGATAGTGACGACTACAATGTGGTTGGCATCAGTATAGTAGAGTGGAAAGTACATGGGTTTGAATTATAGTTCTGATACTTACTACCTGTGTGATGGTGGCCATGTAACCTCTGGGAGCCTCAGTTCTCTCAATCTAAGACAGGGATAATAATGCCTACCTAAGATTAAATAATTCAATGTATATAAAGTGCCCAGCACAGCATATGGCATATGCTAGATACAAAATAAATATTTGTTCCCATCCCATCCCCACCCCCAGGAAGAATGAGGCATTTAGTGGTTAGAATATTTGAACAGGATTGAGATTAGGATATTCTTCCTGAGGATCTCTAACTCACTAAAATTTTAATCACTCAGGGTCATGTGACCTAGTTTGGAAGCTGAAGAATCAACAAGATAATCTGGGGTCAGTTGAGTTCCATGATTCTTTCCCAACGTGTCAGAAAGAACCTGAGCACAAGATACCCCTCTAAAGATTCCTGGTAGTGAATGAGTTGACAGTTGGAATACAGCAACAGTATCCTAAATCATAAAAAACAGGCATTAGGAATGAAGGTTGAGACTGTGCCATTTCTTGCAAGCCTGTGGCCTGGATTCTATTAGGCTCACTGCCTGGATATCCCACAAGCACCTCAAAAGTCATCATTTGTCAAACTGAACTCATCATCTCTCCCCTCCCCCAGACCTGTTCCTTCCCTCATATTTCTTATTTTGGTAAATGGCAGCATTATCCCTCTCAGCACCCTAATCTGACTCTCTGGCTCCTCCATCTTGCTCTTTAACCATATCGAATCAATCACAAAGTCCCATCAATTTTAACTCCTAAATCCCTCTTGCCTCTGCTTTCTCCTCTACACTCCCACTGTGGCTGCCTTGGTTTGGGTTCTTATCCTTGCCCACCTGGACCAGAGAGGCAGTCTCTTTAATTGTCTCATCACCTCTAGTCTCAGCCCCACGCCCTCCCCTCTTTTTGCTCTTCTGCAATCCTTTCTCTGCAGAGCTGCTAAAATCCAATAAGACCATATCACTGCTTTTCTTAAAATCTTTTCATCACTCCCCATTGCCTACAGGATAAGGCCTAACCTCCTTTGGATGATATAAGTAGCCCTTCGTAATTTTGACCTTTCAAACTTTTAGCTTCATCTCCTGTCCCTTTTCCTCAGAAGCCTTAAGCATCCATCATAATGAGCTACTGAGGATGTGCTTAATTGGGCTGCACGTTCCCAGTTCTTCAAGCCTTTGTGCATGCTATTCCTTCTACCTGAAATGATTTCCCTTTTCTGCTCTGCTTTTCCCCTGCTTTCTGTATGTTTATTTATCCTTCAAGATCTAGCTCAAGTATTATCTCTGTAAGGAGATTAGGTAAGTGTCTTTCCTTTGAAATTCAACAACCTACCTCTTACAGCCGTGCTTTCATTGTATTTGGACTATTGGTATAGATGCCTGTATCCCCTACTGGATTCTGAGCTTCTGGTGGGCTGACTGTGCCTTGTCAATGTCTGTATGTTCAGCCCCAGCACAGTACCTGGCATACAGTGGAAGCTTAGTAAATGTTTGTTAAATGAAGGCTACAGCCCAGCACAGAAGTATGAAATATATACCAGGCCTCAAAACTACTTTTTAAAAATTCTCCAGTTAATTTGTCTTTCTAGTCCAATTAGTACGGATTGTAGAGCCAAGGAAATCAATAAAATCAACTTTCCTCCTCAGGGTCCTGCTGTCAATTGTGACTGCCCTCAGGGTCAGGGCAGGGTGACCTCCTCAGTGCCGGCTAGGCAAATCCTCAAGAGGCCATGCCACTGGACAGAGTTTCTGTTTCTAAGGAAATAGAAATAGGAATAGCATCTCATGCTGCTGCTTTTCCTTTTGTCCCCAGAAACGGTGTACATAGTGATGCTTATAGGCCCCCGGTCACATACTTTATTACTGCAGAGGGGTTCTATCCTGATCCTACCCAAAAGATAGTGGAGTATCAGCTCTTAGGTTGTGGAAAGGAGAGTGGGTCTTTGGAGAAATTATACCACTTTGCCTCAGCTCAACCCTGCTCATCCAGATCTCACAACATCTTCCTATAGGACAGTCTGGCTGCCACAAGTAATCCCGTGAAGGAATACTCTGTGGGTTTGCAACAGTCAAGTCTTTACTTCAGGAGACAGAGGGCTAAGTTCCTTTATCATTTTATCCTTGCTCGATCTGTTCAGTGCTGGAATAGGCACAGATGCAGTTTTCTGTAGCTGTTTAGCAAGTTATTTATGATTCACTTAGGCTACTGGCAGGAACATGGTCAGTTTGCCAAATTTCAAATCCTTTCATGGGGATAGGGATGACTTATACAAGTCAAACTGAAATACAGTGCAGCCCTTTATTCTATTATAATTTACATATTCCCATAATTCACACCTTTTCAAGTTTCATTAGAATTCCCATGTGGTTATTAAAATTTTTTGAGTTCTGACTGAACTATCAAAGACATTTTCTCCTTTCTCAGAAATGCTTCATGTATCTCTTGACCTTGTACTATGGAGCTACCTGTAGAGAATAAAAGTCCCTCCTTATTAAAAAAAATGCTTAGTGAGGCTTTTGTCCAGTATAGCAAGTCCTTAAAAGTTTCTATATCAATTGTTATTAAATGCTTAGTGGGCTCATACCTACCTAAATGAAAGAAATAGCTACGATGAGCTGCCTCTTGGAAGGCTCCAATTGTTTGGGGATAAGATAGAGTTTGTCATAATTCTATTTTTTTCTTTTTGTCTTTTTTACTGACCGGTAACGGGATCGCAACCCTTGGTGTCGTGCCCGTACTGGGGACCGGCAACGGGATCGCAACCCTCGGTGTTGCACCCGCACCGCACTCAGCCAGTGAGCGGGAACCGGTCTCCACATGGGATCCGAACCCTGGGCGGGAGCGCGACAGCGCTCCCAAGTGGCGCACTCTCCAGTGCACCACTGGGCCGGCCCCAGAGTTTGTCACAATTCTTATGACCCAGCAGTATTTTTGAAATTGTTACTGGTGGTGCTGTAGTATAATAAGCATTATACTAGGGAGTGTATTAATTTCTTCCTACTGGAAACATTTTCCCAGGTCCCTACAAAAAGACTAATAGAACTGTGTATGCCAATGGAACCGTGCCAAACCAAGTGATCTTTTCTAGAAAACTACATGGTCTTCATTAATCAGTTGAATCACCAATGGTATGGCAACAAAGAAGGAACAATATAGTAAGAAAGTATGTCTTACTCTAGGAAAAAACGTTTTGAATTCACGATCTACTGAGACCCAGGCTTTTATCCATGGCCTGTTTTTTATAAATGAAGGATAGTATCTGATGGTCTTACGTTGCTTTTAGTAAAAAGAAGAGGTAAGATGGGTCAGAGACAGGCACAGTTAGATTCTACTGTGTTACTATGCTAACTACATCTCTAGCTCTGTGTTTATGTATTTATCTCTGTGTCCTAGGCAGTACTACTTAAAGTATGGTGCCTGGATTGGTGGTGTCAGTATCACCTGATGGCTTATCAGACATAAATTTTCCAGCCCTCTTCTAGACCTACTGATTCAGCATCTCTGGGCTTGGCCTTTAGGAATCTGTATTTTAACAAGCTCTCCAAGTGCTTCTTATGTATGTTAAAGTTTGAGAAGCGCTTTTCTAGGGCACCATATCTCAAAGTATATGTTCCATGGGTTTTTAATAGGTGCCATGCCAAAACTGGTTCCAGACCTTGTCAAATGCAAAAATGCGGGGTTAAATAAGCTTCAGCGTTTTTTTGTTGGGGGAGGGGGGTACTACTGAATGTCACAGAGATTTTAATATGTTGCTCTACTGCTCAAAATCCTTCACTGGATTCCCAACATACTTAAAGTAAAATCTAAATTCCTAATTATGGTCTATGAGGCCTTGTATGATCTGGCTCCCATTGACTCTCTGATCTCATCTCCCATGTTTGTTGCTCCTGTTTACTGTACTCCAGGTCACTCTTACTCTAAGGCCTTTATACATGCTATTCCCATCATCTGGAAATCTTGGGTCTCTGCTCAAATGTTTCTTCTTCAGAGAGACCTTCTCAGATCATCCTGTATAAAATTACTGCTCCCATCACTTCCCTTTAGTCTCTTACTGTGGTTTATTTTTCTTCATAGCCCCCACTTCTCTGACTGGTGTACTATTTTTATCCCCTACTAGAGTGTAAGCTCCATGAAGAGCTGTTCATTGTGGATTCTTTAGTGCCTGGCATGTGGAAGGTTGCTCAATAAATATTTATTGTTAAATGAATGAACAAATGAATGGTGAGAGGAAATGATGCTAACAGACTTCACTAAATTATAGAACAGAAAGTAACAACAGTGGGACAAGGGGTAGCTGCCCAAATAGAGTGTGCGAGCCTCACAGAAAGCAGGATGGAGAGGACAGACACTTGCATGGCTTGGACCTCCAGGGCCTTAGGAGTCATATACTATTATAATTGATACCAAATCATCAATTGTTCCCACCAAGGCCAATGAGGCATAGGGAAATGAATTTCATGTATCTTTGCCTGTAATCATGGAACAACAATGACTGTTTCACACAGAATGGAATCTTGGTTAGCTCTCCAATGAAGTGTTTTGCTTAGCTCTTTTCTCTGGGTTATCTATCCCTGAGAAATCATTCACTTTCATGGCTTTAGCTGTTATTAGTAGACACTGGAAAAATGTCTGTGTTTAGTAGCCAACTTTCTCTCCTGCATTTCTACTGCCAAAGGAATATGTCCATTTGGATATTGACTTAGCATTTTCAGACTCAATACATTCAAAGCTAAAAACATTGCTTTCTTCCCCAAACCCCCTCTGATTTCCTTACTTCTGGTAATGGCAGCAATATACTCACAGTTATTGAGGCTGAAAACCATGGGGGCACTCTCTAGACTTCTCTCCTCCTTTAAACAATTGCCCACTGTTGTTGATTACTCCCAATGTTTCTTATGTCTGCATTTGGTTTTTGGTTTTTTTGGTTTCTATCCTAACACTGAACTATTAGAATAATCCCCAAAGTTTTTGACCCCTGTTTTCAGTCCATTTTAAGCAGATTCCTCAGTCTGACTCTTAAGATACTGCTCAGTATGGCCCCACCTTGTCTGTACTGCTTTATGTTCCACCATTTCCTCACATCTCTCTGATTTAGCCAAACTGGACCACTTGTTCCTTTCTTGACTCTTTCTAAGTTCTTCTATTTTCATGTCTCTGCTCATTCTACTCCCCTGACAAGATAGCTTTTCTTTCTATCCATGTTTATTAGCCTCCTTTTCATTCTTTAACAGTCACATCAATATCCTCTCTTCCATGAAGTCTTTCTGATATCTTCTTTGAGAAAATGTGCTTTCTTTTATTTTTCTCAATATCACTTGATACTTATAATTTCTGGCACATTATACCTCATTTTATAATAATTTGTATTCTTATTTTACTCCTACTACCATACTGGATGCCCCTTGAGGGCACAGCCTTTGTCTTACAGTTCTCCAAATCTCCACAGTAGGCACCCAATAGTATTTATTGACTTGAACTGAAGTACCTTGTCCCAAACTATATTTCATAACAGCAGTGCTGTTATATCATGGACTAATAATGTTCTTTGGCTGAGGAACTCATTAAATGGTCACATTCACATCCAGGCCTCTTGAGAGTGGTATGGCCAATGTTATTAATCATGTGACATAGAAAAGGTGCAGAAAGTTTAAGTGATTGCCAGTGTCACGCAGTAGGGGAGCTAGGACTCTAAGTCCCAGTCTGCAAGTCTGATTCAAGCTTCTCTTAGGGACTATCCCTTCTCTGGAAAATAGCAATTGCTGTTCATCAGCTTCTGGGCATCTGAACTGCTTGGAGCAATGGAAACTGAAAGACTTAAGAAACTGTCACAGAATAAATTCAGATTCAGATGCTGGAGTCTCACAATGAGACATCAGGCAGTTCCTTGTCTGCTTCTAAATTTGGTGGCTAGGGTGCAATCCAAAGAGGGTCTGTCTCCATTCTATCCACCCTCTCACTCACTCACCCTCCCATGAATTGTACATTTCATTTGAACTGATGGAGCTGGAGCTCTTGCTAATTGCCTCTTATTGGCCTGTTACAAGATGAAGCACAGGAAAGGAGACAAAGCCTCCCTATTCACATTCTCAGTGGGCAGCAGGGGTCTCTACAAAAACAGAGAAACTGGGGCCCAGGCTATTCATTTTTAAAAGTCAGGACAAGGTCTTCCACCATTCAGAATCCCACATTATAATCACAATATTGCATCCTGGGAGACCCTGACCATTTCTCAAATGGTCTGTCAGAAATTTAGAGTCTACTTAATATTAGAGTCTACTTAATAAATCAGCACTGCTTAAAGTTATACACTTTTTTCCCCTCTAAAGTGAGACATACTCTACATTTTAATTTCATTATTATTTTTTTCTTAGTTGGGGGGAAGAACGGAAGAGAGAAGGGGAAAGAAAGACAGAGAGAGAGAGAAGGGGCAGTGCTTTTTATGAAAACATCAGTCCTTGTATTTAAGAAAGCAAAAGGGAGGCAAGATGTACTGCCTGATAACTTAACTTTCTGTTTAGAATTCCTTCTTCTCTCCACTGGGCCTTAGCTAGGTTTCAATAATTATTGCTCAGGCACATAGTCTTGGAGCTTTGCTTTTTCTCAGACTTGTACACAGTTCTAGGAAGGGTTGTTGCCAAAGCCATCATGTGATTTATTGACCCTCCACTGGGACAAGGGGGAACAGATATAACTTTGTGATTTTATTATAAGGAGGCTGGGTTAATATTTCTAGGTGAAACAAGCTACTATACCAAGTTCAAACATCTGAAGAGGGAGGTTAAGAAACCCTGAGTGTGGGGTGTAAGGATTATTCTGTCCTGGGGCTGTACAGACGTCGTCTGAGGCAGGGAGCAGGAGAAGAAAGGACACATTGTGACCCATTTCCAACACCTCCTGTGTGTAGAGGCGGAAGTTCCTTGCCTGCAGAGGGACACGCGCGGAGGAAAAATAGGAGAGTTACAACATGGCACTTACATAAACAACACCAAACTGGCATAAAACATCTAACAAAATTACACGACTTCAAGCTTGGAATTTTTATACAACATAAATATTAGGGTTCAGCCCATTTAATAATGCTGTATAAAATCAAGATTTAAGGCAGTAATGTTCCACATAAACTCTGAAAACAACATTTATGCTCCTTATAAAAGCAGAAAATGATTGCATTCTGTAGGCTTTTCAAAATGATGAATATAATTACATGAAGCAACAAAAATGGATTGAATTAAAAATCCACTAGTTTCAATTTAAGTTGGTTAAGGGGGAAAAATGTAGTTTCTGGCCAAGGACTGAGAAAATTTTACAAGTATCCAAAAAAAAAAAAAAAAAAGAAATGTTGTATGTACTGTTAGGCAGTTAGGCTGCTTTCTGCCAACATGTATATGTAGCCCTTGAGAAAATTTTACAAGTATCCAAAAAAAAAAAAAAAAAAAGAGAAATGTTGTATGTACTGTTAGGCAGTTAGGCTGCTTTCTGCCAACATGTATATGTAGCCCAGGAGTCACCAATGAAATATGAGCCGCTTCAAACCTGCTAAGTCCAAGAAACCCTTTAATAGTATCTACTGTCACAGGTAGAGCTGGTATTTTTTTTCTCCTCATGAGTACACGGCTACCCCTGGAATAATCCAGTTGCTCCCCTAGTGTCTTTATGGCATCTTGTGCAATTTAGTCATCATCAGTGTTGGCTGTTTTGGACTAGCCTCGTGGTATTGACCTAAAATTGGAGCAGTACCCTAATGGAAGGACACTCTTGGAATCTCTGATTTATTCTCCTGCCTCCATGGGTCAGAGGCAAATTTATGGTTCTCTCCCTTATTTAAAGAGAGTCAGTCACTCCTGTAATGGCCTTCCTGTTCACAGGCTAAACTCGGTTCATTGTGTATTTTGGGGAGGGGAGCAGGAATGGTGAACATAGGCAAAAAAAAAAAGAATTCAACCTAATGCTACATTATGCTAACCTACTAGATAGAGCCTAACAAACTTTTGCTATTCTCTTCTCTGCCAACAGTTTTTACTGAAGTTGCTTATTAGTGGAGTTTAGATTTGTACATTTCAATTTAGATAAGACAATTTTGACAGCAAATTCTCTGTTTGTGGAAAGATAGCATGGCATAGCCTTGATTATTGCTGTGGATTATACTACTATTTTTCTTCTGTTCTTAGACAAATCATCTGCACATCTAACTACACATTTATTTATTTCTTTATTCTTCTTCCTTCATTCCATCCTGAAGCTGAGCCTTGGTGTCTTTTAAGGTAGACTAACTAATGATTTTTCCTTGCTTGACCTGGCAAGTACAGTGGGGTCCAGAAAACTTGGAAAAGGTCCACACAGAGGAGCTAAAGAAAGGAATAGAAGTGCAGGCTGTGTCTATTTGTAGGCATCAAATTCAAAATGCGCATGCATAGTCATGCTGTTGCTTAATGACTAGGATACATTTTGAGAAACGTGTTGTCAGATTTCATTGTTGTGCAAACATTGTTGAGTGTATATACACAAAACTAGGTGGTATATAGCCTAGTACACACCTAGGCTATGTGGTCTAGCCATTATAATCTTATGAGACCACTGCCATATACATGGTCCATTGTTGACTGAAATGTCATTATGTGGTAGTGCAAAATAGTATTTAAATAAATGAAAATAAACATATATATTACATATATAGTATATATATATATTACATAGATTAGTATACATTAATATGTATATTAAGTTTTTATGCTACAGTGCAGTTTGCATGAGCAATAAAAAGAAGATAAAAGTGGCAGAGTCTAGTACCTGGTGTGGAGGTATATTGATCTGCTTAAGGAGAGCTTTCACTGCCATCTGGAGCTCGTAGAACAATTGCATGGGGCAGTCAGAAGTATGATCCACACTTTCCATAGATTCAGAGCCAGAAAGCTTTTGGATCCATTCCCACTCCTCTCTGTATGTTGAGTCAAGTTAAAATTAGAAATATAACAAAAGTTCAGAAAATAGCTCAGAACTTTCTTAGTGTATATGTCCAGAACCTGGATAACTGATTCTTGGCGATTAAAAGTCAATGCAATTCATGAAATTTGAACATTTTGCCACCCAGATGGAGTTTAAAATGAGCTCTTTCTAATTTTAGTTCACCTATCAAACCACATATACCTCAGAACAGTGGGTCTAATTAATATGAATAAGTTTTTAAGATTGGAACTTTCAAATATTTTGTAATAATTTCCTGACTGTCCTCGTTTTACTTTCCCTATGGATACTCTGTAAGTTCTAAGACCCTACGTATGAATAAGTTTTTAAGATTGGAACTTTCAAATATTTTGTAACAATTTCCTGACTGTCCTCGTTTTACTTTCCCTATGGATACTCTGTAAGTTCTAAGACCCTACATTTTACCACAGGGGCATCTGATAGTTAATTCCGCAGTTGGGTAACCACAGGACTCTGGTCCAACTCAGGCAGCAAACCACATGGCACATTTC